TTCGAATAAGAACTCTAATGGCAACATGGACGGACGAGTGGATCCTCTAAAATATCGCTGTACGCGTATCCGCTAATAAACATGAATATATGGAAGAACGTAAAGCGATCTCAGAGAAGGATGGTATATTCATCGTCTGACATTTAACACTCGTTCTTAAGCACATCGTCGGAGATAGGGAAAAGGGGGAAATACATGGTTTAAATAAGCCTTTTCCTATTCACTCCTGATAGGTCTGTCGAGGTCTGCTCTCAGTGGTCCATTCTTTTTGCCTAGGTGGTGCTTAAACACCTCATGTGGTGCCGGTAGATCTATCCTTCTATTGATCGAGTTGGCACCCGATTGACAGGCTTCCATCACCTCCCTCGCCATTTTATTTTTCGCCCGGCCGATGACTTTTGCATTGTCGAACCCGAACCGGTGGTCATTTACAAGCCTGTGCATGGCGACGTGAGAACAACCATCTTCTCGGTTTATGGCTAAGCTTTGCTCGTGCATGCGCGATTTTAGCTGTTTGCCATCATTCCACAGTAACTGGCTGGACAGTTTAGGCAGTTCACTCGATAGACGATTCCTGACATCTTTACAGGGGGTAGCCGTCCTCTGGGCTGCATCGTTAAGCGCCAGATTGTGGCCTCTGGCCTGTGATCCAGGCATACGTTAGGGGTTGTCAGTATCCGTTTCGTGGCCTCGGGATGTCACTGATGTAGGACAGGGCACAATGATACTGGGCTTTTGTTTACATTCCCCGTCTGTCCTGGTGCGCCTTCAGTGCAGGCATTTGTCTATGAAGGTACGGGAGTATCTAGTGGAGAGGAACAGTTGCCACAGGGACTTCCTTTCCTGCATTTTCTCGGCTTGTGTGCTGCAGTGGGTGTTGACACGTAGGAGCAGTGTCCGGAAGCAACGCCGTTTAGGCGACAGCGGTTAGTTACTGTAGCAGTGAAGGATTTTTTCAGTGTTGGTCGCTTTTTAAAACACCCCGGTGTGTAGCGACCCATCTTCCTGCCTCGACACCCAGACATCCAAAAAAAAATAATTTCCCCGTCCCATTCTTCCTCCATAGTTAATTAAAACTCAAGTGAAAGTCCCTATGGCAACTATTCCTCTGGTACGCGGTCATTTCTCGACCCAGGATTTCACATTATGGAGAGCAAGCATATGGCCGATGTCCGCGCAGTGATCCGCCACCAACGATAGAGGATCCATCCTTATTACTGCCCTCATGTGTTCCGCCATTCGGGTCTGCAGTCGTTTCTCAGTCTTTCCTACGCAATCGGCCGCGCAGGGATCACATTTAATTACGTATATCACGTTTGTGGTTTCACTGCGGGGCAGGGGTTTCTTAGGACGCATGACCAGAGGTCGTATCGTTGACTTTGGTCAGTGGGCAATGCCGATCCTCAGCGGTTTTAATAGACGGGAGATTGCCTCCGAAACGTCATCAATGTATGTTATCGCGCGCCATAATTTCATTTCGTCGTCTACCAGATCTCGGTTAGGTCCACACTGTCTGCCGCGTTCAATGACATTTCGAGGATAT